CGCTAAAAACAGCCCGGCTAATTAAAAGCAGCCCGGATAATTGAAGCCCACGGGCCGGTGAGTCAGAGGGGGGACGTGTCCCCTCAGCGGAGGTGACAGCGTGGACAGCAATTCCCTGCTCTGGAATGGGACGCTGCAGGGCTTCAACCTTGCTCTGAGGGAATTAACCCTGTGAGGGGTTGGGGACACCGTGACACTGTCCCCAGGCCGAGCCACCCCCCCCAACCCCACAGGGCAGGTACCTGGAGAAGGTGTTCCTGGCGTAGTGCATGATGCTGTCGAAGTCGTACGTCTCCCCCAGCGACTCCACCTCCTCTGGCTCCATCTTCAGGAAGTTGTATTCCTGCCCTGGGAAAACGGGACGGGGGTGCCCTCAGAGGGGGGGACCCCAATTTTTCCAGCAACACGTGGCAGGGATGAGGAGGAGGAGGAGGCAGAGGAGGAGGAGGAGGAGGAGGAGGGAGGCTCATCCCTACCTGGCTGGATGTTCTCCCTGATGATGGAGACGTGGTCATCCCGGTCGGGGCGGGTGTGCTCGTGCCAGAAGCCGATGACGTGGCCCAGCTCGTGCACCACGATGCCGAATTTGTCACAGTTCTTGCCGATGGAGATGGCCTGGGGGCCCCCTCCCCGGCGGCCCACGTAGGAACAGCATCTGGCGGGGGGAGAGGGGGCACTAGGTGAGTCCTGGTCCTCTAGGAAGACCAGCCTGGGGGTGTGGGAATCCCAGGCAGGAGCACTGGGCTGCTAGGAATCATCCCTACTGCTGGAACTTCAGCCCTCCTGCGAGGCGAGGAGCTCAAGCCTCCAGCCTCAGCTCTGCCTGGGAACTGGGAGAGCTCAGCTCCTGCCCCCAGGCTGCCTGGCATGGGGAAGCATGGCATGGCAGCCCCAAAGCCAGCCCCAAAGCCCAGGGTTCCATCCTGCCCGTGCCCTGCAGCTGAGCTGCTCCAGCCCTGCGTTCTGGACCCGGGCTCAGGGTTTGCACCCACGCAGGGGCTCCCATTCCAGGGGAAATCCTTCTCCTAACCACCATCTGCTTGGCTGGGGCTGTGCCCTGACGCGTGAAGACGCCGAGCTCGTCCAAACCCCTGTTTCCTTTGGCCCCAGCCCCGCTGCAAGCCCTGGCTGGTGCCTCGCCACCGACCTCAGCCCCCGGCGGCGGCTCCAACACCTCCTGCACCCCAACCAGACCCAGAACCCATGGGGGTAGCTGGTCCTGGAGCACCCCCAGGGCCCCCCTCCAACCTTACCCGCAGGGCCTGTAGGTGAAGACGATGTAGCTGTCCTCGTCGTTGCGCTCCAGGAAGGTGACGCAGGTGTGCTTCTCCCAGTGCCGCATGGCCTGCCGGAATATGGCTCGCTGGCTGCCTGCAGAGGGGTGGTGGCAGCCGTCAGCCCGGCTGGGGGGGGGCGGGGGGAGCTCAGGAATGTTGAGGGGGGGGTCAGAGCACCCCCCCCAGCCCGCACTCACCGCTGAAGTTGCCACTGATGACGTAGGGGATGACCCCGTCCGGCCACACTCGCTCCGGCCGGGACGTGGCTGCCCGGCGGCTCCGCTGCCGGCCCCGGCTGCGCCGAGGGCGGCCCGGCCGGGGGCTGGTGGCGTTGCTGCCTGTGGGGAAGGGGGTTCAGCGTGGGCAACCCCCTTCCCCATGGGGGGTGGAGGGGTCTCTGGGGGCGCGGCGGTACCTGAGGAGTTGGAGGGCAGGCGGGTGACGGTGTGACGGGACAGGTCCACCACCCGGTCCACCTGGAAGAGCCGCAGGTCCTCCTCGTCCAGGGCGATGTCGCCCAGGAAGGCGGCTGGGAGGGGAGGGGGAGGTGTGAGCCTCGCCATGTCTCTGCCAGGGGACCCCCACTGGGTGCCTCTCCCCACCCTCCCTGCACATGGCAAGCCCTGAAGAGGAAGGCAAGCCCTGCCTCCTCCTCATCATCCTCCTTCCTCTCTCTCAACCGAGCGTGCTGCCGGCCGGGCTCCCCCCTCTCCCCTGCAGCTGGAGCCAGCCCAGCGCTCACATCTGGATTGCATAAAGCCCATCCATCACTTTTTAGGGTTTCTATCCTTATTTGTGTTGCAAAATTGCCTCTTTTTCTGCCCCCTTCCCCCCTGCTTTGGTGGGTTTAGGACCCCCGTCCTGCCCAGCTCCTGCTCCCCCGGTCTGGTGTGAGCTCCAACAGCCCCGGGATGCTCCAAGGACCTCTGAGTCATCTGCCAGCACGGAGCGAAGCCATATGGCCCAGGAAGCTCCTGCTGCGCCCAGAGCCCGCAGGAACGGAGCAGGAACGGAGCAGGAATGAGGCAGGAATGGAGCAGGAATGAGGCAGGAACGGAGCAGGAACGGAGCCGGCCCCATGCCAGGGTTGGGAGCCCCCGCTCCAGCACCTCAGTGGGGGGAGGGAGCAGAGATGCTCCAGCACCACAGGGCTGAAGGGCATAACCCTGCATAGCCCTTCCTCCTCCTCCTCCTCCTCCTCTTCCTCCTGTTTCCCCCTCCATGACTCAACGCCTCTGCTCCCGGCGTCAGCGCCTGGCCGGCCCCGATCCCTCGGGATCCGGCTCCTGCGGAAACGCCGTGGCCGGAGCGCGAGGGCTGGCGGAGGTCACGCCGAGGCTCTGGAGGTGGCCGTGGTGGGGTGGAGGGGGGTTCCTCACCGGGTTTTGGGGTGCCCAGGCTGAGCAGAGGGCCCCGGGCACCCCCTGCCCTCGCCACCCCCCTGGGAAGGGTGTTGGTGAGGAGGGGGGGTGGCTGGAGCAGCTCAGGGCACGAGGGGCGAGCGTTGCCAAGGTCTCGCTCCAAGCAATTAGCGAGTGGATCCCAAAAGAGCCACTAATTATGAAGACAAGGCGGGACAATTAGGATAACGCTGAGAGGTCCAAAAAAAAAAGCGGCGCAGGGTGAGAGGAGCAGCCACGGGATCAGAGGGACACCCTGGATCCCATCCCTCGCTGTGGCACCGAGCCCGGACCCCACTCTGCTGGAAGAGCCACGTTTTGGGGTTGTCCCCAGCAGTGACCCAGGGGGGTGAATCCCACCGAGGGGGGGGGGGAAGCTCCAGGGTGGAGAGCAGACCTGCGGCAGAGCCGAGGGAAGAGCAAACAAGCCGGGGCCGGCACCTCCCCTGGCAGCGACCTGCGGCTGGCACGGCCAGGCTGCAATTTGAGGGCAGAGCAGAGGCAGGAGCCCGGCCCGGCCTCCCCGCACCCTCCCCGGGGCCGGGAGAGACGTGTCCGAACGGGCAGCGCGGGGGAGGACCAGGGCCAGGGGAGAAGGACGAGCGGCCCGTGCCAAGAGCTGCATGGAAAGACAAGGGAAAGTAAGCTCGCTTACAGCAGAGCAAGCGCCGGCAGAGCCAAGTGATATAGAAACCATATGTGAGGGATTTGGGATACGTGAGAGAGCTGGGCAGGCCAGCCCGGGGACGTGGGGTTGGTTTTTTCCCGGTGGCTTCCCTTAAAAAAAAAAAAACAAACCCACAAAAAAACCCCTGCCCACGGGGGAAGGTGTTTTGCTGCTCCTGGAGGGGCCAGAGGAGCCGTGGCGGGGACGGGCGAGGGGGCGGCCCCGGCAGCGATCCCTGTACGGACACGTCGGGGACAAGCCCGGAGTGCTGGATTGAGAAACTTCCAGGTTGGTTTGGGTTCTGGTCACGTCCTCCTCCCACTCACTCCCTGTGCACCCACGGCAGGAGGTGACTCGTGGGTTATTCTGGGAGGGGGTGTCTCTGCTCACCAACACCAGCCCCCCCCAGATGCTGTTAACCTCCCCAGGGGGCTTCTCCTGGGACGCTGCCACATTGCTGCCACTTGTCCCTTCCCTGTTCCTGTCACATCCTCCCTCTGAGGTGGAGGGGACCCCCTGCAAGTGAAGAGGACCCCCTAAAAGCAGGGGTCTCGTAGGCAGGAGAGGTCTCAGCCTCTGCTTAGCAGAACACAGGTTGGAGCAGGGGGGAAACCTGTCACACCTCCTGCACCCATTTCCTGCATCCAGCACCCTCGTCCTGCCGGCTCATGGTGCTCAGGAGACCCCAAACCACGGGACAAAGGTCTCTCCAGCGATTCCCAGAGGGATACCAGTGTCCCTGAGCCGTTCCCAGCCTGGGAGCCCGTGGGCCGTGCCGCGGGGGCTGCTCTCTGCTCGGCCACAGAGGGATCGGGGGCAAGGTCCGAGCTGTGGCGGTGCCAGCGGGGGACACACGGTGCCAGCGGGACAGACGTGATGCCAGCGGGGAGGGTGCAGTGCCAGCGGGAGGGACGCAGTGCCAGCAGGACACCAGCTCCAAGGCCAGGCATGGGGCACTGTGGCCCCGTCGGCACCCCCAGCGAGGAGTGGGATGGGCAGGGAGAGGTGGGATCATCCCAGCTCCATCCAGGCACATCTCTCCCGCTCCCCAGCACACAGCCAACTGTGTGGGACCTGAGAGGAGGCTCCCACGGAGCTCTTCCCACACCTCCCCCCTCTGCAGCCGGGAGATAGCTCGGCCCTCCGCTGTTGTTTGACTTTTTGTGCTGTGTTTTCTTTCGGGTTCTTGGAACAGTGACGTAACCCCCGGGGCTGAAGCTTTAGACAAACAAGGTTTTTCAGCAGGACCTGGGCCAAGCCCCCTCATCACCCCATCCCGATCCTGCAGGCACCTCCTGGCTTGCTGGCTGTCCCTGGAGGGTCCCCCGTGCCCCCTGGTTGGGATGCAGGAGCTCAGCATCCTTCGTCCCACTGAGCGAGGCAGAGGGGCACCCACGGGCCTGACCTCTCTGGCGTGGCTGGGATTTTGGGAAGAGCCTGACCTCAGGCTCCACCAAGATTGGGAACCCCGTGTATCAGGAAAAAAACTGGGATAAAATGAGTGGTGGGAAAGGGCCGGGGCGCGAACGCGATGTTCCGGTGAGCCGGGAAAAGCAAACAGAGCCATGGGGGAGCCTTGGCAGGGCAGGAGGCAGATAAACAGGACAGGATCATATTCCAGGTCAGTCTGGGGCAAAGGAGGCTCTGGGCACGGCACGGAGCAGGAGGGACCCCCATCCTTGTGCAGGCACTGCCAGGCCTCGAAGGACATTGGGCAGGAGAGACCCTCATCCCTGGATGGGTCCCACTGACCCTCGAAGGGCAGGAGAGGAAGGATGGGAAGCATCCCCTCAGCCCAGCTCTCCCTCCCTGGCTCAGCAGCTCCATCCCAGCCACTCTGAGTCCTCCTGTGTCGCCAATTCACAAGCGTCGCTCCCGGCACAGGCAGGATTTGGGGTGTGGAAGAGAGCAGGGAGAAAGCTGCTCTGCCCTGGCCGGGATTGGGGTTGAGGACGGTGGTTCCATAGGTGTATCCCGGCCCCCGCCGAGCTGCTGGGCTGCGAAGGCGCGGAGTCACGGGAGCAGCATCCCACTGGCTCGCAGAGCCCTTAAATATGTGAGGAATGCTCGTCGCGCCGCCCCTCGCCCCCGCACGGCCCAGCTGCGCGGCAAAACACCCCGCGGCCCCGGCCAGACCGGCGGGGACCCCGCTCAGCCCGGACTGGGGGGGTCCCGCTGGCCCCGGGGGTCTGCCCTGCCTGCAGAGCCCCGCGGAGGAGGTGTGGGTGTGAGGGCAGAGGGATGTGGAGCATCCCGCGGCTGTGGGGATGGGGAGGCAGCCAGGCCCCCCCTCAGCGGCCCTGTGAGACCCCCAGGACAGCGGGGACAGGGTGGAGGCGAAGCAGTGCAGCCCCTCTCCCGGTGCCCCTCGCCGGAGAGAGGGAGCAGCCAGGCTGTAAATGCCGGGGCCAGGAATATTTGCTTTCCCAGAGCACCTTCCGACCGGCACAGCAGGCACAAAGCAGGAATTCAAGCCTTGGAGGCCAAGGCTGGGAGCCAGGCCAGATCACAGCCCCTCTGCAGCCTGGGGGGAAACTGAGGCACGGGGGGATGGAGCTGGTCAGCACCGAGGGGCACCCCCAAAAGAGCCAGTCCTGCACTCAGCTGCGACCCCCTGCCTCCTGCTTCCTGGCTGGAGCATCCTCATCCCACCTGGGGCTCATCCAGCAGCTGAGGGAGGCAGAGATGCTCAAGCAGAGCATCCAAGGCGAAGGGATGATCCCTACCTACCCCCAGTTCCCCCCTGTGCATCCCTCTGTGGCACAAGGCACATCCCACCTCTGCCAGCGCTTCCCTACAGCCAAATTCCCTCCTCAGCCCTGGGATTTAGTCTCCAAATCCTCTGCCCTGCTCCAGGGGATGAAATAATCACTGTGGAGCCTCCAGTAAACACATCCCAGGCCAGCAAAAGGCTTCCAGGGGCAGGAAAGGTCCACCTCGGGGCAGGTTGGGAGTGGGAGGATGGTTTGATCACTCCAGGGGAGGATTTTCCTTCTGCTCCTCTTCCGTGACAGCAAATGCAGGAGAGAGCCTCCTCCAGGGCTCAGGGTGGAGGATGCCAAACCTAAGGCATGCTGGAGCCCAGGGATGCCAGCAGCCGTGTGCAGGGAGCAGGATCTCCCTGTATCCCCTTTCCAAAGCCAGGTCACTGAGGAAAACACATCCCGGGCCAGCAGCTCAGGTCCCTGTGAAAGGGAGAGCTGCTGGAAAGGAGAATATTTGGGAACTGCTCTGCCAAAGGGGTTGGTGTGACATTGGAGGGGAGCCCTGGTGGCAGCAGGAACTGGGGCCCGCTGGGGACAGGGATGTGCCCCAGCACCCGGCTCCGGACACATGGGGTATCCCGGGATCTCAGGGCACTGTGCCCGGCTCTGCCAGAGGACACCGGCTCCCCAGGGCTCCCAGACCTCTGGGCATCATCCCCAGGGCTCTGGCTGCAAACATCCCCCTCCTCGTGCTTTCACTGTTCGATCCTGCCCCCACGGCCTCCCCCAGCGCCCGTTAACTCTTTCCAAAGGCTGTTCCAGCCTCCCCTGGTTGTGCCAATAAACCCTCCCGAGGCTCAGGATCTTCCCATTGCCTTTCCCACGCACATGGAGCGGGAGGTTTGCCATGCAAAGCCCCTCTGGATCAACACCCCTCCTCCAGCCAGGCAATGGGATAGGACCCCCTCTTCCCACAGCTCCGTGGGACGCTGTTCTCTCCAAGGATCCTCAGCAAAGCCACGAGCAACCTGGAGGACACATTCCCGCCCCGAAAACCCCCAGCCTGGCACAGCCAAGATGAAAACACTTGAGGACTCCCCCTCCCACTGAGAGAGCCACCCTCCCTCCTTTCCCTGCATCCCTCCCCGGGGCTTTGTTCTCCCCAGGCTTCCCCCCCAATCCCGCCAGGCCGCATGTTCCCGTGTGTTCTTCCATGTGTTTCCCAGCCCCGGATAAAGCCTCAGGAAAACGCCGTCTCCCCCCTCTCCACGACCCGCCACCGCCGGCGTGAATCAGCAGTCGGAGTGTTTCCCAGGAGCCGGGAAGGGAAGGCAGGGAGGAACGACCCCCCCCCCCCCCCCCCCCCCCCCCCCCCCCCCCCACCCCTCACCAACCCCGGCCTCGCCGTCTGCACCCCCCCGGCCCCCCCGCCGGAGCATGCGGGTGATTACACAAAGATAAAGCAGATCCCGGGATCGGCCTGAGATTCCCAAGGTTTCCCGGGCCCCGGACCGCAGGCCTCCCGCCGGCCTCGGCTCCGCGGGTGGATTTTTGCCCTGCATGAATAAGTGACATATAACGGCTGGAAAATATTTTTCGGGCAGCTTGACAAGTGTGACTCCAACCAGTAGCCCGGGCTGGCTACGCCTGGAAAGTGTAATCTAGGTGAAATCTTGGGAGGCTGGAGAAGTCCAGGCACGGCTGGGAAGCTCGTACAGCCGGGAAAGGGGGGGGCTTGGAGCCCCAGCCCCCATCCCTGCATCCCGCGGTTCTGCCGGGCGGGTGATGCTGAGCCCCCCATGGGGGGATGGGGGATCAGATCCCCCCCAAACACCCTCCCTGGGGGGGGCTGTGTGAGCCCCTAAAGGGCTCTGCACCCCCATGTCCCGTCCCCATGGAGCAGGGTGATGGAATGCCAGGGGAGGGGACAAGGCAGCCCACCCCAGTTCAGCCAAGCACCCCAAAATGTGGATGTGGAGCTGCACTCGGGGAGAGGGGTGGGCTCCATCCATCCCCGGCTGCTGGGGGCACCCCAGGGGGCCCAGCTGCCATCACCAAACTGCTCGGCAACCCCCTGGGATGAGCCAAACCACCACAGCGCGGCCGGGGGGGTGGTGGGAGCGATTCCAGCTGCCTTTCCCAACCGGAGGCACGACCCGGATCCGACCCGGCGGCTGCTCCCGGGCACCGAGACCTGGATATCCTGCTGACCGGGTGAGGGGAAACCAGGGCCACGGCCGATTCCTCCCTCCCTGGCTGCTCGGGGGGTTGGTCCAAGGGCTGGATCTCCCAGCGGTCCCGTTTTGGCATCCTTGGAAGCGACGCGGCGGCACGGGCGGCTCTTCCCCTTCCGCTGGCACCGGTGCAGACGCGGTGGCATCACCGGGGTGGCTGGCGAGCCACGGGCAGCCGGCGGCCTGAGGACACCTCTGGCACGAGCTGTGCCAAGGAACCCAAATCCCTCCCTCGGTGCTTCCCTCCCTGGAGCCGCGGTGGTGGCAAAGCCTCGGTGCGAGCGCCTGAAGCTCGGGGAGGGTCTCAACACTCCAAAACTGAAACAAACCCCCTCGTGGGATGTCATGGGGGGGTCAGGGGGATGCCAGGGCGATGCCAGGTGGGGTTTCAGCTCCAGCTCCCACTGCTGGACCTCACCACCCCCAACAGGGGTAAATCCACGGCTCCTGCGATGCGTGGCAGGCCCTGATCCCCTCACCACCCCCCTTCCTCCTCCAGGCTCCCGGGGAAGAGCTGCCGTAATTAAATTAGTCACATAAGGATCTCATAAAGGCCAGGACGGGAATGGGGAGGGGGGAAACAGCCGGCCCCGGGAGGTGAACCCGGCGTTGGGGGGGGGTCCTGGGGCGCACAGGAGCGAGGCGAGGTGGGGCCACTGGGAAAGCCACTACTAATTAGTCCGGCTCGTCAGAGGGTGAAGCCTCGTCTCTCGCGCTCAGCTGGAGGAAGCGGGAGCCGAGGGAAGGCTCCAGCCGGCTCTGCCCGGACGGTTTTGCAAGCCTAGCTGTTTCAGCCCGGGAGGGCAGGAAGGGAAGGATTTTTGGCCAGAAAAAGCCCTCGTGTAGACAGAGTTATATCAACAGCCGCCTTCCAGAGCAGACAATGCCAGTACAGAGAAACGTGATCCCCCGCCAGACCCCAGCCCTCGTGCCGAGCTCAGCCCTGCACGGCCCTCCCGTGCCTCAGTTTCCCCCCCCCCCCAGAATCCCAAAATCCCTCCATCCACTTTATCTCGCACTGGAACGCAGAGATTGTCCCCCGCGAAGGGCCCAGTTTGTTCCCAGCCCTTCCAAAATCCGGGGAACGGCCCGGAACCCCCTGTGCCGGCACTGAGGGACCCCAACCCTCGGGAGCACCTCCCGAGCTGAGCCCGGCCCGGGTGTCCCGGGGCGGACGAGCTTTGGCTGCGGGTCGGGAGAGAGGAGGAAAGGCAAAAGGTGCAGAGTGTGGGTTCAGGGATGGGGTGGGATGGGGGCTGGGATTGAGCCGGAGATGGGTCCTGGGATGGTGAGGCGGGGGGTGAAATGGGGGCTCCCCGCCGCCTTTGACAGCTGCCAGTAGAGCCACGACGAGGGAGAGAAAGCGGGGCGCCGGGCCAGCCCCCCCTGCTCCTCACCCTAAGTACAACCAGATGCATCTCGGAGCGGGACCGGCCGCTGCTGCCCCCGTTCCTCCCGTCCCGGGCAGCGGGGACCCCCCGGCCCCGGGGCCAGCGCGGGGCAGCGGTGCCAAGTTTCGCCGTGCAAAGCCCCGGAGTGTGTGCGGGGCACACTCACACTCGCGCTCGCTCGCACTCACTTCCACATTCACTCCCACCGGCCCCCCCCGCGCTCCCCTTTGTCCTCCAGCCCGCCCCCCGCCGCGCATCCCCCCCGCTCCTACCGGCTTTGCAGGGGTCCTTGTAGTCCAGGGGCTCCTCGTCCTCCTCCTCCTCTTCCTCCAGCACGTAGGAATAGTCCGGGAAGCGCAGGGCCCGGGCCAGGAGCAGGCAGAGGAGCAGCCCGCAGCTCCGCAGCCCGGCCATGGCTACGGCCGGGTTTTTTTTTTCCTCTCTTCCCTCTTTCCTTCCCTTCTTCGCTCCCTTTTTTTTTTTTTTCTTTCCTTCCCTCGCTCTCTCTCTCCCCTTTTTTTTTTTTTTTTTTTTTTTTTAGGGAAATGAGATCTGGCGGGGGCGGGTTCAAGCGCGGAGCTCGGCCCCTGCAGCCCCGGGCGCAGGGCTGGGAGCGGGGCCAGCGCCGGGGGGGCGGCGGGGACGGGCTGCTGCGGGGACCCGGCCCGCAGCCCCCGCTCCTGCCCCTCTGCAGCCCCCTGGCCCGCTCCTGCCCTCCCTGGGCGCGGGGCTGCCCCGTTCCGTCCCGCCCTGCACCCTCCGGGTCCCGTCTCGTATCCCCCG